TCAGGCACAGGCTGTCTTATGTTGGGCACCCATAAACTGAGGATCACAAAATCAGTGTCCTTTTTTGAACATTTGGGCCCTGATCTTCCAAACATTTATGCATATGTGTGTTCTTCCATTGACTTCATTGGGATTACTCTTGGAAGAGTTTGCAGGACTGGGTCTTAGTTTGGGTTGTTCAGGATGCTTTTTGAATGTTATTGTTCTAATGTGCTATGGTACATGGAAATGGCCCTCTGTAAAATAAATAATAACAATAATTGCTAAGAAATCAAACAAGTGATCCATATGTAACTGATATGAAGCTTCAGACATGGCTTGCAAACTGAACCAGTCCATATATCATAGAATTTTGGGGTTGGAAGGGACCTCAGGAGATCATCTAGTCCAAACCCCTGCTCAGAGCAGGACCAATCCCTAGGCGGATTTTTGCCCCAAATGGCCCCCTCAAGGATTGAACTCACAACCCTGGGTTTAGCAGCAGGGCCGGCTCCAGGTTTTCTGCCGCCCCAAGAGGTGGGGGAAAAAAAAAAGCTGTGGCAGTGCGATCACGCCGCTCCACTCTTCGGTGGTAATTCGGCAGCAAGTCCTTCGCTCCGAGAGGGACTGAGGGACCCGCCGCCGAAGACCTGGACGTGCCACCCCAATAGCAGCCGGAGTGCTGCCCCTTGGTATTGGTCACCCCAAGCACCTGCTTCTTTAGCTGGTGCCAGCCCTGTTTAGCATACCCACCATACCTGTCACTGGTTGACATCTACATACTTGGAGATATGTGTGATATCCAGCACATGTCTATAAATATTTATGCATGTCAATAGGCCTATTTATATGAGTAAAGTTAAGCATAGACCATTACAATAGAATACTATAGTACTTTTAGATTAAGTTCTAAAAGTGTGATTGAAAGTCAGAGTATACTGGTTATTATGTCATAAGCCACAGAGAACAAATATTTTGTCCAAAGGTGTGTTTTACTCTTCACTCCAATATGGGATACACTAAGGCTTCAGTCCTGCAAACACTTATACAGATGCTCAACTTTAAGCCCGTGAGTAATCCTGTTGACTTCTGTGAACTCTTCACATGCTTATAGTTAAGTACATGTGTAAGTGATTGCAAGATTAGGTCCTACATTAACAATGGACAGAGATTGGTTATTACAGGAAATTGACAGGTTATCTTGTTTAGATTTTTCTATATAATGAAAATTGGGTAATAAACTGTGTTAGTAATATAGAAAAGTGAAAATAAGGGTTTTAGAGACCATTAGTACAGATTTGATTTTATGAACATGGCATTTTTAAGAAATGTTGCTTTTTCTGGTAATTAAAAAAAATAAGATAATGACTCATTCTGTGTTCTTAACTAGGATAATTGATAATAATAAGAACATATATTTTAGTTTTGTGTTTGAAACTAGCATTAGTTACTGAGTCTATAGTCAAGACTTTCCTTTGTGCTGTGTGGAGAAATATATGGTTAAGAACTACCAGCAGTCTTTTCTTGTTGAGTAGTTGCTGTCTCTAACAAGTGTTGTATTTAAACTGAGTTTATGTTAAGAAAAGGGAGGTGCCTTTTGTTCTCTATAAAAACAAAAACCTTTGGCAGGAGGGAGGGGAATAGTGCTAGACTTCTAGTTTCTTGTATGTGTGAATTCCCTTCTATTATTAGATGTATAGTAAACTACTATATATACCAAAAATATAGTTGGCTATTATTAGTAACTGGTTAATCTTGAGGTTTTGGGGTGGCTTTTTTTTTTTATACTTTTCAAATACTGAAAATTGTGTAGTCTTGTTGAAAGCAGACCTTTACTAACATCAAAATATAGGTGGTGTCCCTACCTCGAACTGGGCAACTGAAAACTAATTATATTAACAATTATACTCTTCAAACGTATACCTAAAGGAATATGTAGAAGGGAAGAGTTGAATATTCAGCACAGATAATCCTGTTATTTCAAACTTGGAGGTAGTCTTTAACCTGTTAACAGATAATAGTAAACCTGCATTGGGTAATATGCTCTCAATGTGTCACAGATCTAATCATTCCTTAAACAGACTCAGCAGGGATTGTTAAAATTAATGAAAACGCATGGAATTACAAGAGGCAAATATTTATTCTATACAAACACATCCACTAACTTTTCTTCCATTGTTTCAGTACCTCTGTTTGAGATGCCTTCACCGTTACCTGTGCCTCAGACAAGTCTAACTTCTCCTAATCCTGGAGTTTCACCACCTCCATTTTCTGTTTCTCAAACAACAAAAGAGAGGATTAAATGGAAAGGAAGACCCAAAAGAAACAAAATAAATAAAGATGACATTAGTTATCCGAGCAACTTCAAGTAAGTGAGGAAAGAGCTCTTATTTGTGGATGAAATACTAAATTGGCTTATGTTGGTCAGTGTAGTATCCAGTGGGACAAAAATATGTATCTAGCTTGCAAATTGTTTGGGTATCAAAAAGTTATTTAACAAATCTAGCAATTGTTTTTCAACATTTTCTGCACTATTAATAAATATCCAAAATTGCTTTTTCTTATTCAGTACTGGCCTCATTGTATCCTAGGGAAGGACTAGGAACTAGACTTCCAAATTTTCAGGTACTTTAAGCTGGCTGCCAATAGATAAATGTGCATTGTACTTACTAGCACCCAATGTCTACTCCAACTGAAACACACGCAATCTCTGCGTAACAGTGAACATGAGCTTTTCAGGTAAAATACTTGGCCCTTACAGAGTGCCTCAGACTGTTGTTATGGGTGTTTATGAAAGTGCTGTTAAGTAAATAATGCACACATTGTACAGATGGCAAACTACTGCATCGAGTCATGATGTAAAGAGACAAATGAGTTAATGGCAGAGGTGGGACTAGACTCTAGGACTCCTTGGCCACAATAGAAGGCAAAATGGGGAAGTTAACTGGAAGATCAAATATAGCCTATAATACAAAGCTCTTACTTTTAGAGAATATGCTTAAACCCTTGTTAACCTTTTCTTCTTGTACATGTCTGAAGCTACAGATGTATTAAGTAGTGGAGAAGCTGAAGTTACAAGGATATATGAATTTGGTCAAGCTTGTCTTGCCACCTGTAGAAAATAAACTACCATAATTTAAAGGTCGATAAATCAGTCTTTCTTTCCTCCTCAAACTTTTGTTGGCTTTACGTACTTTAAATGGTGGATAGCAAATAATGTCTGTTTCTGTTTACTTCTGATTTGTCAGATGATTCCCTAAATACCAGTTGAGGAGTGATACAGTTGTGTTACTGTAGACTACTACTACCCTTTAAGTCCTTCCCTGGCTTACTAATGAGAACCCCCTATAGGGCCAATACTGACTTGGGAGATACTGAGCATCTATTTCTTCTAAAAGAGAATATTTACTTGAGCTATACTTCATAGATCCTAGAAAACTGCTGTTACACCCCACCTTGTTCTGAGAGGGAGAACAGGGCTGAAGTTACTGTGGCTGTTTTGAATCATTATATGTGGTGTCTCTAAAGTTGCAACAGTTTGCAAGTATGGGCTTTGCATAGTATTGAATACCAGAATGAGAAAATACCATGGTACATGAAGGACTGGGCTGTTTGTCCAAGGATTTTGGATGACTCATGCTGTAGAAGGCTTCTACAATGGAAAGCATGAGGAAAGAGAACAAAAAGTGGGTAGTGTCAGTTTTCTCTTGATCAGATGATTGAAGAGAACATTTTAGTTCTAGCTAGTCTAGGGTAACAGATGAGAGGAAGAAAATATCAGACACGGGGGGGGGGGGGTCTGCCAGTGGAGCAAAAAAAAAAAAGCCGAGTGCTGCCAGCTGAGCAAAAAAAAATTCAGGACAAACATCTAAAAAAGTCACTCTAAGCTAGTCAAATAAAGGGACACCACTAAAGAGACCCCAAAGCTACTGACACATCTGAATTGTTCTTTGTTGCCTGACACTATGTTCTGAGACTTTGGGAGGGAGGACTAGAAATCTGTCACTTTGTCTTGATTTTTTTTGTGGTCTATGAAAGATGACTAAAGATGGAAGGAGTTAATAAAGAGACTGTTAGCTGTGGCAACTTCTATAGGTAACACAGAAGGACTTAATATTCTGTGGCTCTTTTCTAGGACTACTGTAATGTACCATCACTTGTGAATGTTACTCTTGAAGTCCCTCCATAATGTTAAAATGAATCCACTTAACTTAAAAAAAAAAAAAAAAAGTGGACTTGCTAGACTCCAGAACAAATGTTGCTACTAAAAGTCTACTAGACAAAATGGGGATATACACACATAATCTAAACTTATTCTTCAGCTATTCCTGAGGCAGCGTATGTACATCATATGATAAGGACTCTTATTTTCTATGCATGGGCCCTGTGGTGGAGTTTCCATGATCACTTCAAATACAACTGTTACCCATGACATTCTAGAATTTGAGTGCAACTGACTTCTTGTATATTTTCAATATGTCTCAAATAAGATGTATATGGTGGTGACTTGACTACTTTACTTACAACTGTTACTAATCTTGAATCGTATGTCTGCAGTGTGTGGTGCTAAAATGAACAAATATTTTCTCCCTAGGCACTTGGGCCATGTGGGATGGAATCCACTAACTGGATTTGCTGTAAGTATTTACCAATACAACTATCAAACCTAACTCATAATGCTTCAGCTTGTGTGGAACAATTTTAGAATCAGGAGTTAACTTCTATTAACTCTTAATAGTTCAGTATTGTGATCATGAGATTAAAAATTGCACTGGATTGCAACTTGGCATTCCTTGAGTTAAAACTTGTATGAAACTTTCTTCAACACCTGTAAGGAAAGGTGTGGGGGAAAAATGAAATGGAAAGGCCTCTTCTGTCTTGCTGAAGAGTGGCCAAAATGGAATAATGAGGGTATATTGTTAAAGAAAGCCAATCCACTTAAAATCGGGTGGATAAGAGCTTTAAACTTAACTCTTCTTAGCAACATATTTTAAGAATAGATGAAACAGTAGATCTAATAAATCACACTTCAGAAAGCTTATTTCTCATGGTTTTTATTAAAGGTCTCTTCAAGACTGAATAGTCTCTTGAACTTTTTCTAGGATAAAATAGTTGAACTCCCCCCAAGGAACTAACAAGAAACATGAACTTGCTTCAGCATAGAGCTACACTTATTAATCCTCTTAAAGTAAGATAGTGGAATGTAAACCGATTTCATTTAGTGAAGGCTTTCACAAACTTGTATTGCATTCAGTGTAATCTGGAGACTAATGGGAATACTCAGTTTGAAAAGCCAGGTTTTTTACCAGTTAGCTCCCCAACTTTTTTTGTTAATTGGCTTAAATTTTAAGAAATGTTCTGGAATCTAAAAAAACTGATAGCATGTCTCCAATAGTGTTGCTGAAATCGTCTCCTCATTATACTTCTTCTCATGCAGCCTCTGGAAGGGAAACACAAATAAATATTAGTATTGCACTATTTAAGGTCAATGAGTGGGAAAAAGATCTGAGATTAGTTCTGTCACATGACTAGCTTAACTGGACTCTTACTCATCATCCTGTAGACTATCTTGGATTCAGATCTGAAGAAGCTATTTATTCAGGCTGGTGTAACAGAGGATCATCTAAAAAACAAGAGAACCTCTGAAAAGATCTTTAAAACAATTGAGAGGAAAGGAGGAATAGAAGCTGTACGGAAAGAGGTCCAGATAAGAGGTACTTATTCGTTAGTGCAAATTAAACTTAGATACAGCTTAAGTAAGATACCACTTTGCCAGTATTTTAGCATTCATCTCATTACAGTAATATACTGGATTGAGGTAGGCTCTACAAGCTTGCCTTGTTACAAAAGCAAGTAAAACGTGACTTCATAGATGATATAAGGCTGAGGTAACTGAAGGTTCTTTCCATATTTAATAGAGAATCTGTTTAGAGGCATATTGATAGTGTGCATGGGGTGAGGGCAATGCAAGCCTCAAAGGTTGGATTTGAGATTTCCTAAAATACAGGGGTGTTCACATCCAGAGGTTTTGCTCTAGGCACACTTAGTAGGCTAGCTATATTAAGAGTATTATTAGCTAGATAGCTGATACTTTCTCTAGTGCCGTATAATGTCTCATCCCTATCCCTTTGTATCATACAACATAATATGGGATAAGTGCCTCGGAATTCTGCTTCTTTAAGATTTCTGATAAGTGAAAAATGTTGCCAAACAAAGGCTAGGTGCTGAGGTTGATTGGGTAGGAAATCAATCTGAGACAGATATACATTAAATCTAAGAGCATAACTTTATTTTTCTACAGCCACATCTTCAAGATCCAGTTCTCATCCTCTACTTCATTCTACATCATCTTCAGAGCGAAGTTCAACCATCAGTCCTAGTATTGAACTAAACTCCCCAGTTCTAAGAGCAGATGATGGACTCAAAGCAATTCTACTAGCACCTCCCTCTACATCAAAAGTGCTGTTACCTACATGGAATGTCCCTTCAGTTGTCATTGCACCAGCACCTCCAATGCCACCTCCTTTGTCTCCTTCTAAAAGGGCATCACCAATGGGTCTACATAAACCGACTCTCAGTCTGAGAGGACCGCAGCTGCATAAAATAAAAACTGAAAAGACCCCAATTACTTTGCATCAAAATGATGTAATGGGTCAGATCAGAAAGGGAATCCAGCTGAAATCGGCAAGTATCTTTTTTTAACCAGTACTAATTCATACTAGTGAGCATATGACTTCTCAGCAATAAGAAAAGCTAAGTATAACTAATAATACATCCCAACTGGAGCAAAGGAGAGTGTGGAATCTAAGGGTGCAATTTAATACTTGATGTAGGCCTGTATGACTATTGCACAGTTGTGCTGCAGCTAGAAAGCTGACTGATACAATGTAAACATAACTCTAGAAGACTTTTGTTTTTTTTAAAGGGTATCTTATTGTCAAGATACAGACAACAAGAATGTGAAAACTGAGAATAAGCAACTTCAGAGTAAAATGCCCCTCTGCGCTTGGATGGGTCACTTCCCCAATCTTTGCCTCTAAGTGGAACTTGCATGGAAGGTGCTGTAACTTACCTTGGAGTAAGGAAAGCAGTGACTCTTCAAAACATGATTTAAGCAATAAATGAATGCGTTTAAAAGGTATCTTAGGCAGAAATATAAAGTTGAACAACTAATACGTTTCTTTCAAATAACTCTAATTTATAAAGTGAAAATGTTCAATGTAGTATCAAAACTCTTATTCGAGAACTGTCAGGGTAGTTAAGTAGTGAACTGTCACTTCACCTGTAGAGTTCTGCTACTTAAAGTAACACTCAGGTTGATCAAAAAGATCAAACAAGGTTCATACTAGCCAGTCTGGATGAGCACATTAAACTTCCTCCTCTTGTAAAATTGCACATAAAATAGCCTAGAAACTGGGCCGGCTCCAGGCACCAGCGCAGCAAGCAGGTGCTTGGGGCGGCCAACGGAAAGGGACGGCACATCCGGCTCTTCGGTGGCAATTCGGCAGAAGAACGAAGTGGCGCGGTGGAGCTGCCACCGAAGTGCCGCCGATCACCCCTCTCCCCCCAGCCGCTTGGGGCGGCAGAAACACTGGAGCCGGCCCTGCCTAGAAAGGAATCTTTCCTAAATATGGCTTAAAACTAATAGCAAGACTTGAGACTTGCCTTTTCTCTGCTAAATGCATAAATTAGCGGTATGTGGACTTGTGTACCATCAGTCATTTGGAGAATCCCAAAGCACTTAAATGTTAGGTAGGTAGGCTGACTTGTAAAGGTACATGGTGAGGCAGAACTAAATAGAATAGAGTCCAAATTCTTTTTCTGCTTTGATCTAAAGTTGAGATGCATTTCCAAAGCTGTTAGAGTGGAAATCTTGCAAAACTAGGCTTTCTGCTGGTGCTTCTGGTGAAGTTTTATTCTATACTCATGATCTGTATCCCAAACTGCCAAAAAAACCCTCAAGTCTGAGGCTCTGGCTATACTAGAGAGCTTACAGCAGTGCAGCTGCAGTGCTGTAAGCTCTCTAGTGTAGCCACTCAAAGCCGATCGGAGTGAGCTCTCCCATCAACTTAATTAATCCACCCCACAATGAGTGGCGGTAGTTATATCAGTGGGAAAAGCTCTCCCATTGATGTAGTACTGTCCACACCAGCATTTAGGTTGGTGTAATTTATGTCACTCGGGGGTGGCATAGTCATACCCCTGAGTGACAAAACTTATACTGACATAAGTGGTAGTGTAGATATAGCCTGAGTTCTTAGATCCTGTGAAATCACATGAATGGTTGTTGTAAACAGAAAAATACCACCCTCTTTGGGAAATTCCAGGCACCCTGATGTCTGGATAAAAAGAGCAACTGGAGCTCTATGTTTAGAAAACATGCACATACAGTACAGTGAACAACAGAATTTTATTTGGAACTGCTAACGTAGTTAAACTTGAAAAATAACATGAGAAATCAAGAGGTTGAGTTTTGGAACAGCTGCTGCATCATCTATAGGTACGATAATCATTTAGCCCAGCTGTACTAACTATAATATTTAGTATAGCTGTGCTCAAAATATGCTATTTATCAGCCTCTTTCCTGCAACTTTCTGTGCTAGAAGCTACCAGATGGGTCTCAAAAGCATTCTCATTTGCTTCATATCTGTTTCAAGAGTCTCTGGGGGGAGGTTAAGGAACATAGCTGTATTTTCTCAACAGCATGGGTTCTCCAGATGCTGACCATTATTGTAGCATATCCTCATCTAGCTGAACACTGCCTCTTGCTGCAGTTCTTTATCCTATCCCATATACACATGATTATGTTCTGTCATAACAATCTAACTGGATCTGGTTAATTGCAGATGGAATGACTTGAAGGTTGGACTTCAGTTGTAAAAGTAATGCAGACACTAGTGCTGGGAACGTGAAATAGACCCAACAAGTGTCAGTAGTACCTGCTCCATATGTTTGTAGTATTTGCTTATGAAGCTCTTGATATATGGGAAACTGAGTTTATCCCACAGCTGTGTGTCATATAATGGCCTAGTTCTGAGGAGGGAGTACAGCATCAAAATAAGTAGAAGGGACCCATTTTATTTTGAGCATAGGTTTCAATGATAAAATAATGCTGGTACTCTCTAGGGTGGGTTTAGGAAGCTATTTATAGTAGCTTTCTTTTACAACTGTCATGGAAGAGGACCCTTTGGGTGCAATTAAAATGTTATCCGAAGTCTTTTAGTTGGGGTAGTTAACCACAGAGAAAAGTGGCTTCCACAGACAAAAATCTGAGAGCCTATGAAATCTGATAGCAGAGAAAGCACGCTCAGTGACTGTAAAAGAGAGACTCTCTAACAGGAAGGCATGAAAAAACTCTTTCCAAACAATGAAGTAGCTTGAGTGCACTTCTCCAACCTGAAGAGGGCCCTGAGTCTCACAAGGAGTGTGTGTTGCTGGTTCCTGCAATGGGAGAGGGCAAAAAGGACAAGACAAGCTGGGTCCTGTGAGATTTCCAGTCTTTACAGGACATTTGGGGTAGGCTTGAGGTCTCCTAGGATTTGACACATGATTTGGAGCCGTAACAGCCATGTGGTCAGAGTTACTTCCTGGTTTCCAGTAGTTAACCCAACCTCACTCCTTGGCCCACCTGGATAGGGCCACAACAGGGAAGCTTCCCTAGGCTTTGCCTCATGCTGCTGCAGGTGGGCCAGCAGCTATGAAAGATGGTGAGAACATGCCCAGATGGGTTTACTTCAGAGCGATTCACTTTCATGGTGCCCCATCTGGAGCTGCTCATGGGCCAGGTCCTGGCCCAATGTAAGGGCTGCCCTGTGGGCCCTGCAGGGCTCAAGGTGCTAGGGCAGTGGGAGTTAGGAATTCCTAGGGAGGACAGGGGCCAGGGCTGAGCCCCATAGCCTGGGCAGAACCCTGGTGGGAATCCTGGCTGCCTCTGGCTGTGGGACATGCCTATGAAGAGCTGCTTGCTGCCTTGTGTCACTTGAATGAGGCCCCTCTCTTCCCCCCCCCCCCGCCAACCCACACATGAGGTGGATTTTAGCGGTGATTGTGTCTTGCTTTGCTAGTCTAGTTGGTTCTTACCTGGGTCCCATCACTGCTTCGGCAGGGCAGTGTGGTGGCTGGGTTGATGGCTTTGATCTGGGACTAGGTCTGATGCTTCCTGGCTTGGTTCTTGTTCCTGGTGCAGAGACCCATTCTATTCAAGCATTCCTTTATGCTTGTCTATCCCTAATCTCCTGTGGACTAGTCATGCTTGCAGCCTAAACCTATGCACAACATAGAAACTGGCATTTTTGGAAGTATAAAGGGAAACTCAATCACTAGCAATAGACAGTATATCTGGTGTTGCTGCTGGTGACTTTGTCCCTGTGAGATGTGGTCTGCAAGACTGATCTAATCAGACACCTATTGAGGCGTGTCCTTTTCTAGACTCAAGGTCTT